AGAGAGGAAACACAAGCAGGTGGAGTGCGAGAGGGAGAAGCAGGCTTCCCACTGAGCAAGGAGCCCGATGCAGGGCTTGATCCCAGGACCCTGGGATCATGATCTGAGCCAAAGGCAGACGCTTAACAACTGAGTCACCCAGGCGCCCCATTATTTTAGTTTTAGAACAGGTGATCTTTATCCACTCTTTCAGCCAATGGTAAACCACAAAATCAACTGTACGTTAAACTTCATTATAATAAAATATCATCATTAAGGAAGATAACTGACTTTCTATCTCTAAAGCAAGCTAGCATATGTCAAAATAATCCAAAAGTGGTTTCAAATTACTTAGATATAGGTTAAAAACAAGGAGGGCCACAACTTACTTCTTTTATGCTACTTAAAATACCTTCTGATCTGTCTGAACACAAATTCTAGTGATCTGGACTTTTCAAGAAATACAGAAGTCCTGGTTTTCTAAGAACTAGGATTCTATATTGAATGCATGGAATTTAACCTGAAACTAGTTCTTGTCCCCAGAGTAAAGCCTGAGAAATCATTCGAAGTGGCAAACATTCTTTTATTTGCTTTTCTAATTATAAATGTACACTGCCAAAAATTTAGAAAATAAAGAAGAATTTAGATTATTTCTCCCCCAACTTTTTATTTTGAAAAATTTCAATCCAACAGAATACAGATATGCAGGCCAAGCATCCTCCCAGTTACTAATGCTGAGCCACAAATTTACTCGGAGCTTCTTGGCAGTCAAAGTGAAAGGAGGAAAACAGCCAGTTATATAATTCACATTGCCTATAAGGAGAAAACTTACCAGTTACTCAAAGGTACCCTTGAGTTTCATGACGGTTGGCCTGAGAAAAAATTCTCTTGTGTTCATTTAATAAGGAATACAGAGCAATATCACACACAACAGCCCTACAGTAACTGCATCGATGAGTTCTGGAAACTATGTCATCTAGAATCCCTCCATGTTAGCAGAGGGTGCTTGGTATGGGTGAATCCTGGCCCCAGCAGTTACTGTGTGACCTTGAGTAAATTACTTAAACTTTCTGTGCCTTAGTTTCCTGATTTATAAAAGTACTGTGATTAAAACTATACCTCAGAGAGCTGTTATGAGGCTTAAATGAGTTAGTGCCTATTATGTACCTAAAACAGGACCTGGAACATAGTAAGCATCATCATTATTATAGTAAATGCTAAAATAAAGGTGTGCACATGATGTAATAGTACAGAGGAAGGGCACTTAAACTAAGGGCCCGAGGAAAGGAGGATGTCTGTGCTCGGTCCAAATCTTAGTCTACTACTTAACTGCTGTTAGTATGAGCTTGACCAGATTACTTCAACTTTGTGTTCTCACCTGCTAAAACAGAGATATAATGTTAGCTGTTGATACAATATGCTGATGTCTGCAAAATTAAATGAGATAATGTCTGAGGATTAGATGAGCAAATGTAATAGAGCATGGTATGTATAACAAATAGATGTTTCCTCTTGGATCTGGTGGAATAAATAAATTCCTCTTGCATTCAACTTGTACATATGTCCGTTTCCCCCCAGTTCAACAGTGTACTTAGTTTAGAAGTAGTTGTACATAAATAACCTTTCAGATCACAACAAAACTACCTAGAAGGAATGTTAAATGATTGGCACTGACTTAGCACAACTCTCATTTTTTAAATCACCATGGGAAATGTCACTGGTACAGTTATGTCCATTTTTGAAGCACACTGTGCCTAGACAGTAGGTAAATACCTTGATTTCCATTAGACAAAACTGATTGCTCCTTTATCTGTATCACTTTATACATCCCTATTTCACTTCATATAGATTTCTACTATAGCATGTAGTATACTGTGTTACAGTTAATAGCTCGTTCAATTTGTACCTTGCTTTGCTTAAAAAAGAACTATGGCAATTAGTTACATACTTCCGTGTTTATCTCCCTTCCAAAACTGTGAGCTTCTCAGATAACTGTATCAGATCCATAGTATCTGGACAGAAGCTGGCATATAACATACTAACTCTCAATGTTTGGTGAAATGATCTGAGTAGGATTTGAAGTGTGCGATTTGAAGTGTGCTGTTATAAGCAAATAAGCCTAATAGAAAGTTCGGATTACCTAGGAATTTATGTGAAAATCACAGACTCAGCCTGATCTCTCCTTGGACAGATGAGAAAACCAAAGCCTGGAATAGTTAAGTGATTTGCCCAAGGTTACCTAGCTAGTTAATTGCCAGAATCAAGACTAGAGTCTCAAACATCCATCAACCACTCTAGAGTCCAGTCCACTATATTGACCTGCCTTTCAGACCCCACTAATTTGATGTCTATATCTACTACCTCACTAAAGCCATTATCATTGGTCACCAATCACTTTTGTGTTGCTAAATCCAGTCAGTGCTTTTCAGCGCTTGATATACTTGACCTACTTGTGATCTCTGACTCTACTGACCCCATCTCCATCTTGCAATTCTTTCCAACCTTAGCTTTTGAGACATTACAGCCTTGAGGCATTATCCAAGTTCCTCAGAATTCTTTGTGGTGTCTGTTCATCTGCCACTCCCTTTTATAGCTAGTGCTTCCTGGAACTCCATCCTTGGTCTTCTTTATTGTTTCTTCTATTGTTTCTCCCTGATTGATCTCACCCATACCTAGGACTTAAATTACCAATTAAAAGTTAATGTCCTCTAAATCTATTTTATTTTCACTCAACCTCTCTCCTCATTCATTGATCTGCGTAATTCAACTGCTTATTGGCTATTTCCCTCTGGATGTGGAGGTTCCCTCCAAGTCACAGTCACAATGCAGCAGTCTTTGAGAGAGCCTGAGAACCTGCACCCTTCTCTTTCAAATAAAGGAGGATGCGGCAGAAGACCAACTATCATCTTTACTACTGACTGTATTAGTTTCCTACTGCTGTTGTAACAAATACCACAAACTTAGTAAACAACACAAATTTATTACCTGACAGTTCCGGAGATTAGAAATCCTAAAATCAAGGTATTGGCAGAGCTGTGCTCTCTCTGGGGGCTTTAAGGTAGAATCCATTTCCTTGCCTTTTCCAGCTTCCAGAAGGTGTCTGCATTCCTCAGTGCCATCTTCAATGCCAGTAGTGCAGATTCTTCAAATCTCTCTTTCTTTCCGACTTTTGTTTCCATCATCATATCTCTTTCCCTGATACTGATCTTCCAATCTCCAAGCCCGGCCAAATAATCTAAAATAATCTCTTCATCTCAAGATCCTTAACTTAATCCCATCTGCAAAGTCCCTTTTGCCATGTAAGGGAGGGAACACATTTATAAGATTCTGTAGATTAGGACATGAACAATTTTGGGGGACCATTATTCTGTATAATACAACTGATGAAGTTGGTACTGGATATTACCTGTGGGCAGAGAGCTTCCTAATACCAAATTATGAAATTAAATAGGTTTACTAACTGTCGTCCTGGACCAGGCACCCTCAACACCACCCCAGGTCCTGCTGCTGGAGGAGCAGAGAACACCATCAACGCAATTCCTTGAAGGCACTTTTCTTTTAAGAGAAAAGAATGGGATGGGCTATATATGCCCAGTTTCTCCTTTTAAATTCACCAATCAGGAAGTCATTGCTCCAGGGAGGAGTGAGCTGGGGCAGGTGCAGTGAGAGGCCAGGAGTATTATATTAATGGATATCACTCCAAATGGCAAGAAACATCATGAGTGGAGATTGTTTCCCCAATAAACAGATTTATATTTGAACTCATCACCATCTCATCCCACAAATCTGATCATCCTCCAAGACTGTCACCGCCACTATCTAGTAACTTAGTAGAGAAACCCAGACTCATCTTTCTTCCCATCTTGCTAAATGGTTCCACCATCTCTTCCAGCATCCATACTAGAATTTTGTCCTACTTACTTATCCCCCACTCAGTGCTGTAAATTCTACCACCTTAACAGTACTCACATCTATTCTTTCTCCTACATTCCCACTGCCAATACCTTTGTTAAAGCTCTTATCACTTCTTAACTGGAGTACAGCAATGGCCTCAATACTCGTCTCCCGGTCTCAGGTCTTACTCGTCCTGTCCATCTTCACTTCCATACCTTTGCTCATGAAACATCCTTTATAGTTAGTCTCCAAACCCCCACACCCTGGTACCCCAGTTTGTCCAAGCGTCAAGCAAAACTGACTATCCAGCATCAGCCAGGATCAGACTTGAACCTAGGTTTCTGACTCTCAAGTCCGGGCTCTCATCTGCTCTTGCTTGGCTGCCTTCTCCTATAATAAAAATATTTTAAAGTCTAATGGGCTTTATACTCTACAAAGCACGTTTGCATACATTATTTCCTCTTAGCCTCACAATTCTCCAATGTAGGCAGGATGGGTACTGTTAGCCCCATTTATAAAATGAGTTAACGGGGGAATTCAAGGCTCGGTCCATCACACCCTGCTGCTGGGTTAACGAGTGTCACTCAGCAGTCTTCCACGTTGACTGTGCCCTCAGCCCCTTCTGGTTCCACTCCCTGTAGAACCATCCCACACTTCGCAGAAGTACCGATGGGATCGGCGCGAGTCTGGACGAGGCCACTGCTCTTTCCACCACAGGCGCCCTGGAACCTCATGACAGAGACCTTCCCATCTGCAATGACGCCATCGGTGACGCCATACAGTGACGTATGGTGTCGTAACTTACCCGGAGCCAGGTGCCGGCAGGGCAGCCACACCCTGGGGCCCCCAGCTCAGGAGGGCGACGGGTCAGGCGGGTGGGAAAACGCCGCAAAACCCGCCGGGGTCGACCTCCGGCCCTAAACCCTCAGATCCCGCCTCCCCGCCGCCAACCGGTTGCTAAGTGACGCCAGCGCGCAGAGGCGCGTGCGCGGCCACGGCGGTGTGCGTGAGGGCGGACGCG